TCTGAGCTTTTTTTTTTTTTTTTTTTGTTCAAGGTTAGCACTCTACCACTTTAGCCAAAAGCTCCACTTTCGCCTTTTGGGTGATTAATTAAAGATAAGAGTCTCATGGACTTTCCTGACTGGGTTGGATTCTAACTGTGATTCTCAGATCTCAGCCTTCTAAGTAGCTAGTTTATAAGTGTGAGCCATCAGTGCCTGGCCTAAATTTGATATCTTTAAGGTATCAGCTCTACTTACTGAAAAGCTATTGTGTACCAACTTACTGAAAAGCTATTGTGTATCAACAAATGCCAAGGTATTTGTCGAGTGCTGAGCTTGCTGGAGAAAGGCTTTCAGTTGAGAAAGTATCTGATGACATAGAAATAATGATGCTGTTAAGTAGTGCTGTAAGGAAAACAGACTGGCAGGAGTTGTGGACTACTGCTTGAGAGATTATGAGAGGTCTTAAACATTGGAACTGAACTCTGAATGACAAGACACACTAGCCCTGATGTCAGTAACAGCATGGGCTATGTCTTCTACCTTTTCCATATCTTCCTGGAGGCCCATAAGTCACTTTGGTTTCCTAACTTGTTTCTCCCAGTTGTTGCTCCTGAATTCCTTTGCCACATCAAGTGCATTCCTGGATTCCCAGTATCTTTACTGTGGTTCAGAACCATTGGGAAGGTTAAGCTACAACTAGGTAAGGAGTAAAATGCAAGTTCTCTGGTGGAATTTCAGTAATCTCAGTTCTCCCTTTAAAGTCTTTCCATGGATGAAGTTAGGCCTGTCTAGATTATCTCGCAGTTTCCTTACATTAAACATATTTTCAAAGTGTTTCATGGCAACAGGAAACTCTGTGTTTGTATTTGCTTGAATAACTGGGGACTGCGTAAATTGACATGTAAAGTGATCACCACAGTTCACCCTTGTCAACTTGGTACTCCCACATTTCCATTACCAAATTTGTTCTTCAAATAAAAGACAATGATGATAATCCTATTTCCGTCAAAGTATAGAAGTATCATCCATATCAACAAAACAAAACAAAACCTCCTCAGAAGAGGGCCTCTGGATTGAAATTACTCTTTTTTTTTTCTGGTCCTGGGGCTTGAACTCAGGGCCTAGGCTGTCCCTGAGCCTCTCTATGCTCAAAGCTAGAGCTTTACTACTTGAGCCACAGTGCATTTCCAGCCTTTTCTGTTTATGTGGTACCGAGGAATCAAACCTAGGACATCACACACGCTAGGCAACACTCTACTGCTAGACCATATTCCCAGCCCTGAGATTACTCTTGATTATCCTCAATTCAGGATGCTAATTTAATAATTATTTAAAAAGTTTTAGATAAAGAATAAAGGAAGAAAGTCAAAATTTATAGCTATAAATATCAGTAATAACCACATGACCAGCTTCTGCATCTGGTCATAGTGGCTGTTGTTGATGTTTATGGCTCCCTTCTTCCATTAGCCTATATTTCCTTTGGTGTCAGTAAGCATCTCAGATCATTATCAGGCTTCTAGTCTGGTAGAAACCATAATTCACCTGAATTTTGTCAAAGTTTCCCACTGGCCTTAATCATAAGACACAGTGGTAGTAATACAGATTCTCTAAGATATTTGTATTTTAGACATACTGTTCGCTAGCCTGCATTGTGTAGTAGTGACCTAATTTTTCCTTTGTAATCAGGATCAATCACTGCATGAGTATAGCATCTCCTTTCTTTGTTCTTTGATGTAGAATCTTGAGGAAACCTAAGTGGCTGGGTGACAATCTCAGCTTCTATTTCAATGCAATCATTGTTGTCTCCTGGTAGAAGCATCTTTTACTCTATTGTTTTAGCAATTAATTAATTAATTAATTTTATTTTGCAGCACTGAGGATGGAATCCAGATCCTCATACATGTTAGATAAGTGCATTACCACTGAGCTGGATTTCAGACCTTTAGACCAGAACAATGTTATGTCTCAAAAAGGAAGTAAAATTTTTGCTCGTGACTCCACTCACTAAGTGTAATATTAAGTTGTGCTATTTCCATTTTTAACCCTTGAGGCCTGAGCCTGTAAGTGAGATTATGGAGAAGTGGCATTATATTTAGAAGGCATTCCCTAACTGGATTTTCCCTAACTAATGTTTCAAAATTGAAACTTCAAGGTGCAACATTAGTTAGGAAAAATCCAGTTAGGGAATGCCTTCTAAATATAGTGCCATTTCTCCATAGGCCAGCTGTATCAAGATTTTGGGGAACATGGGCCCCTTTTCTCTGATGTGGACACTTTGGTCAGAAGAAATACCATGTATTTCTTTTACTCATGATGGTGAGTAAAAGATAGATGACAAGGTGTTTTGGTTTTTTTCTTTGCCAGTCTTGGGGCTTGAACTCATGGCCTGGGTGCTGTCCCTGAGCTTCTTTTGCTCAAGGCTAGTGCTCAACCACTTGAGTCACAGCTCTACTTCCAGCTTTTTTCATAGTTTCAAGGTATACTTAAATACTAGTAATGTAATTTATGGCTAAATCGAGTAATATTACACATTGACAAGTGTCTCTTCAAAGTTTATTTAGTAGATGAAAGCAAGCAATTTAGGAAGAAGAAGTTAGTAGAAGCACTATGCCCTAGAGATAGAAAAATCTATTTAAAACCAAATATATTCTGAACTGCCACCACTGTCCTTAAAATAGAACTCAAATATTTAGGTAGCTGAAACTATGTAGTTTTAAAAAATATTTTTCATGGACCTCATTTGGGGTTAGGTATGTTATTTTTGGGTTTGTTATAAAGCATTTTTCTTTTCTAATTTTGGTAAGATGATACTTTCTAGAACAACAAAATCACTGTCATGGATTGCTTTTCAATTTCTCTTCAAATCACATCTAGATTCTAAATTCAGTGCATTTCGAAGAATTTTTAGGAAGTGTCCATATTTATGGTTTTACAGAGAAATGTCTCCAAGAACCCGAAAGGTCTGAAGTGTTTAACTGTCAAGCCTTTTAGCAACTGCAGATAGGAAGGCTTGTGAAAATGGAAGACATCCAGAAAGGAACTCATTACCTTCTCTCCACAGACTCACGGCTTCTGTGTTCAAGGCACCACCTGCCAAGTCTCTCATTAGAAGCCTGGAAGCTGCCTCCTTCCTCTCTCCCCAGGTCCAATCATTCACAGTCCGCTGTCATTTCAAAGTCAGAGGTGCTAGGCATTCTACCCCTTTTCTCCCCCATCATTGTTCTCTCTGACTCTCATTATCTGTGGGAAGTGCACCTGTCCCATCCCTTATCTTTGTGGATGTCATCTGCCTATTTTGTGCCTCAGTTTAAAAACTTAGGCTGAGCTGGGTGCTGGTAGTTCACGACTAATTCTAGCTACTAGGAAGCTGAGATCTGAGGATTGAGGTTTCAAGCCAGCTCAGGCAAGAAACTCTGTGAAGTTCTTGTCTTCTTTTTATTTTCCTTAAAAAGATTTTTTATTGTAAATGTGATGTACAGAGGGGTTACAGTTACATAGGTCAGGTAACAAGTACATTTCTTTTTGAATAGTGTCACCCTCCCCCTCATTTTCTCCCAGATTTTCCTCTTCTGACTCCCCCTCATCCCCAAGTTGTATAGTTCATTTCCAACATAGTGTCTAGTGAGTATCACTGCTGAATTGGTTCACTTTTTATCCTACCAATTCTATGCTTCCCTTTCCCCTCCCCAAATCAGATGAACTTACATACAAGGCAAAGGGTAAAGAAGTAACAAAGAGTGACAAAAGGAAAAACACCAAAGCGGGGACAAAAAAACAAAAAACAAAAAAACAAAACTGCAAGCAGGGCTGGGAATTAGACTTAGTTGTAGAGTACTTGCCTAGCATGCATGAAGTCCTGAGTTGGATTCCTCAGTACAACATAAACAGAAAAAGCCAGAAGTGGCACTGTGGCTCATGTGGTAGAGTGCTATCCTTCAGCAAAAGAAGCTCAGGGACAGTGCTCAAGCCCTGAGTTCAAGCCCTGGGACTGGCAAAACAAACAAATGAACCAACAAACCACAAAAAACCTCTTGTTTCTATTTCTTGGAGTTCATTTTGATAAGCATCATTTTATATGATTATACGCACATAGCAACTGAGCCCTTGTGATCCTCTCCTAAGAATATCCTTTTTTGTTCTCATTATGTAAATGTTTAGAGTGCTGTTTAATTAATCATGTCCAAGTGTAATTATCAGTCTTTTTATATCCATTGGGGTTACTTGTAGACGTACAAGCATATTCTAATTATTACAAATGAGGGAAATGAGACCTATGTTTCTTTTTTTTTTTGTCGGTCGTGGGGCTTGAACTCTGGGCCTGGGCGCTGTCCCTCAGCTCTTCAGCTCAAGGCGAGCGCT